AACGCCTGCCATTTGAAATAAATAAATAAATTTATAGTGCGATAAAAAGTTAACCATCTATCAACACCAGGACTTTCTAAACATGTTTTTCCCATATTGCTTAGACTACTTGAATTCCTGTGATTTTCACTACCTTCAAACTGTGTCAACCGTGGCATGACCAACCATGCAAGTTATTAACCAGTAAGCTCCCGGATTCAGTGATCATGAATTCGATCTTGAAATTTAAACAATAAAGCACAAAACAATCTTCTGGTAAGCAGATTTTATTTCCTTCTTATGCCCAACCTCTGTCCTTATTCCATCTTTGAATTGCCTTGATTTGACCTTTGTTTAGATGCTTTGCCACGATAAAACCTTGTAAATCGTTCGTCTTTTTTAGGCCGGCACTAAGAGCTAATATTCACTTAGAGAACAGTAGAACTTCAACTCAGATTACTTTTACGAATATACACCCTCAAGCGACATAGCGATAGTGCTTCTTAAGCCCTCTTAGGAGAGCGTTCCCCAACTTTCATCTTGGCTTAGGATGCAACGCCGTTGAGCCTCTCTCTAGTGAATAAGGTGAATTGCGATAAGAATAGAGAGACACGCGATTCGCGAATCCAAATAACTACCCTAATGACCACGATTGAAGACGCACGCGCTGTCAAAATCACATAACCGACACACCTTTCAAAAAAACTATACCAATAATTGTTCGCAAACGGATATGATTGTCACACTCCAAAGAGAGTGAAGTGAACCAAAGTCGAAAGGGCTTAAGCCAACCGGAAAATGGAAATTGCGAGCTACCGATAAAATAAGCAGCCAGATCTCTGATCAGAGGGGTCTGCATCGAACTCTCGACTCCCTACTCAAAGTCTGTGTGAAAACTGCTAAGTTGGCACATACATCTGTCATTGAATGCCCAAAAAGAATACGATTTAATGTGTAAAAAAGGTGTATTAAAAGGGGTTGTGGGGGAATGGAGAAACAGTAGCATGGATAGTTTATAGAGGGGCGAAAATGCATCGTAACATGTAGAAAATGGATGGAGTGATTACATTATGAAGAGATTGATAATGAGCGCGTGAGGGGAGGTACAAAACTGTGCTGTGAGTAGTCAACTACAAAGTCGGGTACTCACTAAAAAATCGAAATTGAAGCGAAATAGAACCCGAAAAGGTGTATTACAATTAGACAGACTGTGGATTAGGACAAAATGGCGAAAGAGATATACACTAATGTAAGAAGTATGGATTCTGATGAAACCATTGGTCGTCCCCACATTCAACTGATCGTCCAAGAATTGTAGGAGTCCAAGGAATGTTTTCTGTGCCATTTGAGCTATTCACTGCTGACCATCTGTAGATTTCTGCATCTAAAATAATAGAAAATATCCTAATCAAAGGGAGACTCTAGGAAACAAAGCAATTCACACTCCTGAACATGCCTAGATCAAATTCTTCATCACTTTCGCTGCCCGAAGAAGCAACATCGTCATAAATTCCAGACGCAACAGAAGTCCAATCCCCTCCATGGAGAGCATAAACCCCTTGGGCTGAGCCAGCTGCGGAAGATTCCGATTTCTTTCGTTTCAAAGGAGCGTCCCCCATTACCATAGCCGAGACTTGCATTAAGTCAAGATTCTCCAAGGGAATTACATGAGCTCGTTTACGAGGTGGTAAAATTTCTTCATAGATAGCCTCATCTTCAGACGTTACGTAGCTGTAGACGTCATCGTAGACTGGGTTGAAATGTTCCATGCAATGGTGAGGACGACTAAGACGATTAAGTCGACGGATCTTTATGAGACGCTCCTCCAGAGGTGGACAGGCTGTCGACGGTCGACGCTTAGGGGCCACAGCGGGAGATGAAGGCAATGGAGGAAGATGAAGAACTGAGGCTCTCATGATCGGAATTACTGTGGTTCCACAACGAATTCTTCTTTGAATTGGACCGATACTAGAAATTGGTGGAGGTGGAAGAGCAGTCCGTGGCCTCGGAGGGACTCCAATAGTCGAAGACGACACTTTTCGACGTTGAATAGGCACAGACCGGCGCAGATTTGGCCAATGAAAACGTTTAGCCGACTTTTTGGACGATTTCGCAGTTACTTTTCGTGGAGTGGTAATTCCAGTGGCGGGCGGTCGCAAAGATACGGTACCGCCGTTCTTGCGACGATGGATCTTGAACCACATTCTTATCGGTCACCTAACAAATTCGATGAATTGTTATTAATTTCAGTATTAATTCAAACAAAATTTGTCATGGGAGCGACACATTCTGCTCTTTGCAAACCGTCTGTTGGAAGAATGTAACGTTTTTGAAATGTAACAAGTCGAGGCTGAATCAAAACACCTAGAAGAGAATAAGGTATCTTAACCTATTATATTCATTAAGAAATCACGTCGATTATGGGATGACCTTGAAATTATTACTTATGAGTATTCCAAATTGAACCGAACTGTTAAAAATAGCTAAGTTTGATAGAAAGAACTATTCAAAATTCAACAGAAAGCGTAAATACCCCAGGGACGTACGAGCTAAAATGGCGACCTAACGTCTTAACAGCAAGAAAATTATTCGAAATAAAACAAGGTTCACCAAAATTCCAGATTTTGAAAGGTACAAATTCTACAGTCTATTCCACATTTCTGTTGCCACCACGTGTAAACTTATAAATTATTAAAATACTATTTGTTTTGACAATAACTCTAGTCTAGACAGTAAACAGGTTTTGTCTAATTACAGGCGAATAAAGACACTTCTGTCTATGTCTGGACCTACGTGCTCATTTCGATCTTAGGTTTATTTAGTTTAAACCGCCGAAATTCTCATGAAATTAGCACTAGTTAAAAATAATTAACGAATGTAATACTCATGAAGAGATTTGAGGTGAACGAAATTCTTATGGTTACTCAAAAAGATTAGGAAAAAAATTAACAAACTTGAAATCAAACGAATGAACTAGATTGAAATGAAATAGTTGAACAAAACAATGCTACCACATTGAACAAAGAAGGGAATGAGGAACAGAGAGAACACAAAGAGAGGACCTACCGGCAACCCGGCTAACGACCGAATGCACAAATGTGGCCATTAAGTGCACTAACACGCGTGCTTTCATTTCATTCACCCACACAAACCAATCAGAAGTTAAGTTAGTCACCGGCTCAGGTGGTGAGATAACCAGTGACATCAAGCCAGGGGTGAGGTGACTGATTATTGGCCTGTATACTTCATTGTGGGTGTGGCCTTGCCGCGGATACTCAATTTTGCGTCCGGTGCCAAAATTGGTATTGAAGTAAAATAAAGGTATTAATGGTGGTTGTAATTCTGTTCATAATTACATATGATAAGCAAGTTTCGTTCCGGAAACTTGTGAATTTACCTCTGGTTTTAGTTCCACAATTGAAAATAGAAGCAGACTAAAATTAAAGATGATTTGGACTATTTGATCTTTAGAGTGTTTCGAAGGAACTAAGTAGACAAAGTCATGAATGATTTTGAATGCTGGTATTTCAGTGGAAGAGATAGTGTTAATCATTTAAGAACTTTCATTGCTAAAAAATTGGGATGTGCACTTTTAATCATTCGTATTTTCTGTGTTCCACGGTAGTCGGAGACGAAATTTTGGAGTCGATCGTAGCACCCTATATGTCTTCAATACTTGTTAGTTCAACATCGACTTTTTTCCTTCTAAGAGTTGCAACTTACATTCAAAGTCTGAATTGAGTACGCTGAATTCGAGTTTCAAAAAGATTCAATCACGTAAGTCATTGCTAGTGTTTGAATTAAATCTCCTTCCACAAATCTAACTCTAAACACACATATCTTTAACTTTTACAAGGTTTTGGTCAATTTCGCAGTATCTTAGCACATAAATACTATTTTCATTACTTAAGGAATGAATGATGGAGTACGCGCAACATGGACTAATTTGTGTCTTTAAATGTGTTCTAACGTGAATGCTACTGGAAAGAGCTTATTTTTTTCATTCTTTGTTTGCAGAACACAGTTTAAATTTTTGATTGAAGGTGACACGAACTTGAAGTGAGTTATTTGAAAGTTTAATTTTCTCGTAGCAACAAGCTTTCATGACTAGGTTCTTGCAAAACTTAACATGTTAAGGCAATGGAAAGCATTGTTTACTTTAAACCTTTTAGCTTTCCGGGAGATATCATTAGGAGTTGCTACGTTTGAATACCTTTCTCCTGTTGTAACTAAAGTGGGTGAAAACTTCCGTGTCATTGACACATTCGGAGAATGAATTATTTATTTATTTATTTATATCAAATGGTAGGCGTCCTGATGGTTATCATTAGCCCTTTAGTTGACTTCAGGCTTCACAGAGGGAGAGGAACACCAAATCGAAAAGAAGAGTGTTTCAAAGTTTTCGACCTAATTCAGTTCACCTGACCACTCGATAACAGTTACCGAATTTGTCCGCAATGTTTTCGCTACTTTTATAATATTCAGGTGCAAGATAAAACAATTTTTAAAAAAGTTATTTATTTTAATTGATTATACTTACTTCAATTAGTAAAAATTTCTTGTTATTAAAATTACCATGTATCATATGAATACTCTATGGTAAAGATGCGATATTTACCAAAATGGGGTGTGCGATAGACTTACCTCCACATGGTGCATCCTGGGCAACGTATACTCATGCGGCAAAAAATTCTATAAACCGGCAGTTGACTTCTCACTTCAAACTACCATCACCCCACTGTATGTCATTGTCGACTTTGTGTCTGTCTCTTTTACATCTTTAAAACACTCTTCTGTTCACCCTCCCCTCTCGACTTTTTTCGATTTGGTGTTCCTCTCCCTCTGTGAAGCCTGAAGTCAACTAAAGGGCTAATGATAATTATCACAAAGCCTGCCATTTGATATTAATAAATAAATATTTACCAAAATTATGACAAAAAGAAGGATTTCAGTAAAGTTTACCGATACAGCACATTTTGACTCATCTTTATGATGGATATGTTTAAGACTAATTTTAAACCAATTTGTTAAGACGTTACTGAGCCCGCAGTCCTATCAGTGCTGATCAAACGAATTTAGAGTGTTCTAGAATGTTCTGAAAATTTTCGATAGTGATATCGTGCGCTCGCAAAACTTATTATCTTACGAACGAGTAAATTCATGCCAGAGAATTCTGCTGCTCTATTTGTCCGTAGTTGGTTAGACTTCCAAAATGATTACCAAAGTTTAGCAAGTGCTCAGTTGCGTACTATTCGCAATTCAAAGCAGAAATAAGATTTCATAATGTCGACTAAAATTTCTTTTTATTTGTTTTGTAGTAATAATAATATAATTTCCTTTAATGAGAAGTCTAAGTGGAGTTTTTTATGATTATTTGAGCCAATTTCAAAGGCTTCAATATTAGAATCTTAATCACAAACTAAACACTGGCTACAAAACTGACGGTTCAGCCGTGGGATTCTCTTTACAATCATCTACTTTTCCTTTGTCATGTCTCTTATCGTACTTCTACTCTTTGACTTTCTCGATTTACCTCGACTTTCATTTATTTATTTATTTCAAATGGCAGGCGTTTTGATAATTATCATTAGCCCTTTAGCTGACTTCGGGCTTCACAGAGAGGAGGAGGAAAATCAAAGTGACAAAAAGTTGAGAGGGAGGACAGAACAATGATTCATAGATGTCAAAGAGATAGACAGACACAAAGTCAGAGAAAAAGGTAAGATGAGTACAGCGAGGTCGAGTATGACATACAGAGGGGTCATGGTAGATTGAAGTCAGAAGTCAACTGCCAGTTATT